TTTTTTAGATCATACATGTTGCAGATTGTTGAATGGCTCCAATAACCGCTGGTTATTCATGTGTTTCTCTTTAAAGAGAAAGACTTTCAGTGCAATAAATAAGTCCTTCTAATTAATGTAGCAATTTTAAATAATAAATATTTGCTTAGACATGCACATACAGATGAAAATATTATAGATAAGATCACTTCAGAAATAAATATCCTGTTTTATTAGAAGGGGATCATCATTTTTTTTCTTTTTCCTATTTAACTAAAATAAATCTTACTTAATAAATCATACTTTATTGTTTTAACCCCTAAAGAGTTCACAAACATTTTAGTGTTTTTTTCTTTCATTGCTACATAACTTTGTGTGGATCCACATACAATAATATAAAGGTTAATTCTATGCTCTTTATATATTAATTTAGTTTAAGTCTTAAATGGGCATTTTACACCAAAGCAGTTTGTGTCACATAACAGTCATAATGCATGCCACTGACTCCTATTCTTATAATATAATGTGATTTTTATCATTTCTTCAGTTCCCAGGGTTACAATTGTTACAAAACGTCACATTTCTATATTTTCTCTCCAGATTAAACCATTTCAATTTATTGTCAAGTTGTATATTTAGAATAGAAAACATTAACAACAAATAGCATAAAAATTGATCAGTGCATTCAAAATGTTACGTCACAATATTTAGTTATTTAAAATAAACATTTTTTCTACAGTTTTGTCTACAAACAAATTAGCAGAAAATTTGACAAACATTTGATAACCAGTCAAGAGAAGACTAATTTGCATACCAAAGAACAGAAAAATGTTTTCTATTTCCTTTAAAAAAAAAAAAAAGAAAGATTTTAAGAGTTAAAACTATTTATTAAAGGGCTCATTTTAGCAGACATTAGGGAACTTAATGGTAACGGGGGGGGGGGAAATCCATGTGGATTTAATATTTTTATCTTGACAAGCAAACATCTATGCCCAATTTATAATGTTAACTCCCTGTTAAAACCTCATCCTGGTTCACATCTACAGAAAATATATGTATATTAGGATGAATTTATCCTATTTAACAAAACATTTACTAATAAAGTCATCCGGTGTCATGCACCTGACGAATCCCTAATGGTCACAAACTAATATAATAAAAACAAAAGCCTGCCCATCATGGAAATACTGTCACTTTCGCATAAATTAGTCCACGTGCAGTCATTTTGCAATGACGTATGAATGTCGGCTCCCTTTGATGGGAGCAAAATGAGAGAAGTCATTTAAATGTATTTGGGAGAGGGAGGTAGGTAGGGAGGGAGGGGTGCTGGCTGGCTGGCTGGAGGCCTGCAGCTCATCAAACTCACCCATCTTTTCTCTTCGCCTTGTATACATGTCCGTAAGTGCCCCGTCCCACTTTGCATCCTTCGTACTCGAATAGGTCCTCGACTCGCTCTCTTTCGCCGGTGAGCTTCACTTTAAAGTCATAGTCCATTTTCACCACTGTTCCGGGCTAAAGTGTTTGCTCTCCTTCCTTTCTTAAAGCGTCGCTTTGGGAGGCAACTGTGCTCCTCCAACGAGCTCGGTTTGCTATTTCAGCTGGTTACCTTCCCCAGCGTGGCCCTTTCTTCTTCTAACCCCGTTTCCACATCGAGCTGTCGGGGTGAATTTAACGTTCCGGCGGAGGGATGCGCGGTGAACGGAGTTGGTCCAGGGAGAAACGAGCCCGGATAATTTTTTTCCTCTCTCTTGCTGCTGCGTTTCTCTCAACCGGTATCTGCTCCAAAGAGACGCACTTCACTTTGTAACGACGGCGTATTCATGCACGGCAGTGTCGCAAAATGTCGTAAAGACAGCCCTTTTGTGGTGGTGGGAATCCTGGCTCTTCTCCGGGATCCGGATCACTTACTAGGTTCGTTCAAGTCCTAAACAGTTCTTAAATTTTTTATCTCTAAGCTTTAAAACGATCTATAAATTGAATTTTATTCTTTTGAGGGTGGAAATAACTAAAATATTTCATAGAATTTGATTATAGAGAGGGTATATATATATATATATATATATATATATATATATATATATATATATATATATATTTATATATATATATTTATATTGTTTTTTTGTTTTTTTTTCCTTAGAAATTATATATATGTTGATTAGGTAGATAGTCCATCACAAACCACACTGCATACCAATAAGTGGCAAATAATGGTACTAAAATTTTGTCATTGTTTTGCTTGTTGCCAACCACCAATAAATCCAAGAAGAATCCAAGAGGTTACATGATTTATACAATTTTTACTTAGACAAAAAAATCTTTGAGTCTAATTATAGCTGCAAGTCAGATTGCTTATCTCAGAAAAGGTGTTACTTCTTTTTTGTTGACTTATCACGGAATGATCATGCGTCAGAGTATCTGTCTGATTTCCTGCAACCCTTTCTACAACCCTTAAAACAAATAATCACTTGCTTTCAGTCCTACCAAGGTCCAGGCTGGTACATAGAGGTGATCAAGCATATAAGGTTAATTATGGAATAAACTGTCCGAGTTTTTTATTAATGAAATGACAGCGGCAAAAACATGTAGACAGAAGACATCTGATTTACACATTAGATATAATTTATAAAAGTTAATTAAAAGCTGTAAAGGAGAAGATAAATAATTTGCTAGAAAGAAAATAAGGTGCAGTTATTAATAGATAATAGTTACAAATGAGAGACAGTGTAGATTATTCTTGTTTAGATGAGCAAATTTGTAAACAGTTATTGAGCTCTGGAGCAGCTCTATGTAAGAGGGATTTAAGTCAAATTTAAAAATACTTTACGGACACTTAACGTACAGCATGAGGAAGTTGGGGGCAGGGGTTGTCTTTATTTCTAATTTTGTACTCGCTGGTGCTTTTTTACACCTCTCAATAGCATTTTGGTCAATGCTGCTGTTGTTGTTGTGTAAATGTGCTATATAAATAAAACTTAAAACGGAACCTTTATCAGAACTTCATTTGAAATTAGATCTCAGATTTTCTTACAGTAGCACTATTTCCATCAGCTCTAATTAGTTTACATGTAAGTGCTGTAAAATAAAGCTCATATTTCACTGTGGGTTATGATAAAATGTGTAAATGTGCTACTTAAGTGTTGTTTCACCACACATACAGCAGGTGATAAACAATCGCTTTTCTCATTATAGCACTGTCTTCCCCAAGAGTCCAATCAATCTGTGGCATGCAGGACAATTAGCTGCCATGTCAACAGATTTTTCCACCTGAGCTGTGATCTTGTACAGCTGCACAAAGTAACCTTGGGCCTGTTGGTTGCTTCCTTTATGATTTTTTTATTTTTTCCAGCCTGCCGACCATATCATGCTGGGTTTGTATTTGTATCATGTTCTTTACATTATAAGGTAGTGCATTTAAGGTCCTCATCATGCTGTCTATTAATTAATGTTTTCCAGCAAATCTTTAACACAGACAAGCAACAGTTGGATTTATGATGAGTTTTAACTACTACACATTTATCAAGAGCCCCTAGATAGACAATTTTTATTATCATTTTGTATACACAGAGTGTATACAGAACTAAATTTTGTTTTATACAGCTTTCAGATAATTTCCATTTCTTAAAGTGCAGCACTGATCAAATGTAAACAGCGTGGTAGAAAAAAAACATGGTGAAAAAAATTTGTATAAATATCAAAGTTCAGAGCATTAGATATATATGGTGCTAATATGCAGTATTTTTTGTTTGGTGTTGTCAGTGTGATGCAGAGTCTGTGACATGATATAGAGTTTCTTTTTTCCAACAGTTCTGTTAGGTATGATGTTATCAGTGTGTTGCAGAGTCTCAATTTGTAACTTAATTAAGACTTTTTTAAACAGTTCAACAGTCTGAAGAAACACTAAATCAAGTCACACATCGTGACTCTGCTTCACACTGATGACATCATATCTAATAGAACTCAACTCAAATGTTTTCTACTGCATTTTTGCACCATATATATTTATTTATTTTTGCACTGCACTGAAACTTCCACATCAATGCCTTTTTGCACCATGTCTCTCCTACACTGATAACATTTGATCACTACTGCACTTTGTGAATGGAAATGTTCTTTTCACTGCTAAGCTCCTTCTTATTCACTGTCGGAAAGCTGTATATACGAAATTTCGTTTTGTATACACTCTGTGTTGACAAAATGACAATAAAGTTTGTATGAGTCTTAGTATCCCCAGAACCAAACATGGAGAGGCTGATTTATGTTTTAATGCATATTTAATCTGTAAAAAAAAAAAAAAAAACAGCAGAAAAATACAATTCCTTGATTTAAATTCCTTTAAGTCAAGGCAGCATTTGATTAGTAGTCTACAAAACAATCTAAGTAAAAAAAAAACTTCTCTATACTGAACATATCTTATACACATTGAGCATCTCCTTGGGATTATCATCAGTTGTATTTGTTATTTTTTTTAAATGATTTTTGTGATGATTTTAATGTAGTGATGATTTACTGTTTACTTGATTTATGTTTTTATGATATGAATTATATTACTGCGCATTTCTTTTTATGTTTTCTATTATGTAAAGTACTTTTACTTGCCTTGCTGCTGAAATGTGCAATACAAAAATGTTTTTACTTTCTTACTAACTTACTTTACCCTTTTAAACTTACTTTAGTTGTTTATTATTAAGGCAGTATCACCTCGTTTTTTTCTCTTGGAGTTATCAATTTTGTTTTTCTCTTACTAAAAGCAGAAATAAACGATTCAATTCGTAGCTATGCTAGGTATTGAAAACTACAAGGAAATTTATAGGTACTTTTCATAGGAACCAAGAACTACAGATGCTGTTTTTACGGACATTTTTTGAAGTCGGACCAGTGGTCCCATCTTGGTTTGAGAGAGGAGAGAGCTGAGAGAACCGTCCATATTACAGCTGCTTTGCCAGGTACTTTCATCGTTTGGTCTCAGTCATCCGGTATTGGTGTATCATGTAGGTTATCTTGAGGCTTCATACATGTTATCTGTTTCTTAACATTATTTGTCATATATGTAACTCTGAGTTTTTCTGGCAGTTTGCTCTGGTGTCGACTGATTGCTACTTACTGGCTATGCTAGTATGCTAAAGCTCTGTTAACACCGAGGCGTTGCGTATTGAAATGACGCTTTGAAGGATTGAAACGTCTACTAAGGTAGCTGCCGTGCTTTGTCTGTAATGGTTATGTTTAACACCCTGAGAAAACATCTTATTTAGTCCTGGTCAAAAGTGATAAGGAGATTCTTTGTCTTTCTTTTGATGCTCTGCGTTTACATGGAGGAAAACTCAGTGTAGCCTTCAATGACCCACCTTTGCCGGACGCTGATTGGATGCTCGAGGTGTCATTCATTTAGACTGGATCGATGATTGGTTGCTGGTTGGGACGACAACGCCTGTCTTTAACTGCTGTCTAGTTGGTTTTCCGAAGATGCTAATGTCGGACCTTTAGGAGGTATCTCTTTTGTCATATTGGCTAGTACATCGAGCATTTGTCTACGTGTCAAATTTGGATGATTTAACTTTGCTTATCGTAACGCTAAGTGCTAGCTTCGAATGAACACTTTTAAGTAACATTCCTTGATTCTCTACCTTGTTCTCATGGGCCATCGTCCTCCATGTTTTATTTGTCCCTGCTGCAACAGAGCTGAATCTAAGCTTTAAAGTAATTGATGTCTGATATAACCACCTGGATTAAAATAATTTACTAGAAGGATGTGAGTAGAAAACCAAAACATCCACCAGTCATGCAATGCATGCTGCAGATTGTAATTATAAGAAGTTTCCCTAAAGTAGCATACAGTTCATCAGATGACTCACAAAGATTCAAATCACAGTACACTCTGAAGTAAGGTGGCATTGATGCAATTTAGTTTTATGTATCCACTTTAAATACTTAAAAAAACTTGGAAGGTGCTGAGAGAAAAAGCCCTCGAATGCAGTAAGAGAAAGATCAACACAGTTAAAATGAGGTAGTTGTTAGCCCAGATCGTGGATGTTAAAAGGCCGACTGGTGACGGTGAATGTTTTTAAGAAATGTAACGGTAAACGAATGAAGTTTATTTTGAACAGAGCTGTATGACAACTTGTATGATGCTGCGTTTCCATCTGTGACTGAGAGTCCAACCTGTCTGCTCACACAGCACTTTTGGTGGTAATGGACCCTCCTGGTGGGGGAAGCGAACGGAGAAGGCAGGCAGAGCGTCTTCGACGGGAGGAGGCATACTACAACTTCATTAATGAACTTAGTGAAGAAGAGTACCGCCTGATGAGAGATGGCAATCTGCTGGGGACCCCTGGTAGGAAACATTCTGATTCATCCCTTCGTGGACTGAGCACACTTTGCTTGACCTTTACCTCCCATGTACAGAGCGAAATTTCGTTTTTTACGCACCCTGTGTACAAAATGACAATAGAGTTTGTAGAAATCTAAGGCTACATTCACACTGCAGGCCTTGATGCTCAATTCCGATTGTTTTTTGTGTTGCTGTTTCCTGTGTGAACTGCAATCATACAACGCAAGTGTCCCGCATGCGTAGTAGAGGACGCAATGACGTCACAGGCCAGCGTGCTCTATGTTTAGGGAAGTAAACATGGATGGTAGTGCCGGCGCGCATCTAGCAGTCTTTCCCAGCCATATAAAAGGCATTCTTTTCAATATGTTTAAACATAAATACTACTCTCCATATCTCATCTGCCATTGTTGTTGTTTTTCCTTGCAGCTTCTTCATGGCAAGACGCAGAATAGTGACCTTTGTCGGGTATTAATGACGTTCAGGTCGGATGAATCCGACCTGGCTGTTCCAACACTGGTTGCATTTGAAAAGATCAGAATCATATCGGATTCAGGACCACATAGTCAAATGGCCTGGGTCGGATTGGAAAAAATTGGATCTGTGTTGTTCAGAAAGCCATGAAAAGATCAGATCCAGGTCCCATGTGGGCAAAAAAAATGGATTTGGGTCACTTCAGGCTGCAGTGTGAACGTAGCTTAAGTCCGTCTTCCATTTGCCTTGTAAAGATCTTGTTTCCACAGTACTTGCGTTATATTTCAAAACATTTACTCTCAGCTCTGTGCACCTAGAAGTTAGCAATAGGATTGACTAGGGCAAAAGTATAAATATGTATTTTGGATTAAAGGCTGTGGTCTTTCAATGTGTTTTTATGAAATTTTGTATATTTCTTGCATGGAAACGCTTTTCTATGTAGACAAGTTTTTTTTTTGTCTTTTTCACTAAAGTCTTTGCTTAGCAAAATATGGTGACTGGATGAATAATTTGGCAAGTAAAAGTATGAAATTAAATTAATTGATATTGTTTTTTGATTATTTTTGACTGGTTTCTCTTTTATAGCTGTGCACATTTAAGTTGAACGACGCATGCTATATTCTGTCGGTTTTTAACCCAGCCTGCAACCTGCATTTTATAGGCGAGGTGACTGCAGAGGAGCTCCGTCAGCGTCTTGATGGAGCAAAGGAGCGTGTGTCGTCGCAGCCCCACACTGAGCAACAGTCACAGACTGCTGATGCTGGAGATCAGCAGAGCAGCGGCAGTGGAGGAGAGGAGAGAGGGGCTGCAGGAAGAGGAGGGGCAGGTAGGGGTTTTGTCTCAACTTCCAAACTCTGCCTTTTGCACAGCGGAATATTGAGTGCCTTGTAATGTAAAAAAAACAACATTTTGATAACTAAAAATTTCATCACTTTTTAAAATCAAATAGAATTCAACTTTATTGCCATTACACTGTCACAAGTACAAAGCAACACAATATAGTTTGCATCTATCCAGAATTGCTATACAGAATATAAATCTTTATATGTGTAGAGACTATGTATGCATGGACTATAAATTACACAGGCCAACAAAATATGTAGTAACCTTAATGTTCGTCATTTATAAAGGCTGATTTATACTTTGAAACTAGGTTGTCTGCGTAGGTGTCGCGGTGAACGCAGGGACGTCCCCGCCCACTCCACAGACACTCTGCTGCACCTCTCCCAAACAAACAGGAGGCCTCTGATTGGTCCAATCTACATCCGCTCTACACTATGTGTATCTCCTGTTTGATACCTTACCACCTTGTTATGTTTGTATGACCGCCATTGCGGAAAACGACTCGTGAGGTCGTTCCAACTGGATCCCCGCTCTTTTTCGCCCTCATGTCCCTCCGTTGTCGCACAAACTTGCCCTGACTACTTCATCACCTCAGCCGTACCTAGACCCACAGCTAGTTTGTGATTTTCACCTTTTGCCTTGTGGCATGGAATAAACAAAGCGCAGACCATGCTTCAATATCGAGCATAAGTCAAAAATGTCTGCGTCATACCTGCGACAAGCTCACTGCGGCTCACTGCTGCGGGAGTATAACCAGCCCTTTAATGTTCAAACCATAAGACAACTTTATGTTGATCCTTCTTTTTCTGCAGTTACAGCTGGGGGACCGTTTTTGTGTCTCTAAGAGAAAATTATTTTTGCCCCTTGTTCTCATTTCAAGCTCATTCATGTTGGATTTGTTCAGGTTTTTCCTCAAATTCTCAATTGGATTTAGATCTGGATTTTAACCAAGTCATCCTAACACAAAAATATGCATCAAAGCTGCGCTAATTCCCCTGTATTTGGCTATATACATTATCCCTAACAGGCTGTCCTGACCCTGCTGGAGAAATGAATTCCCACCGTATGATGCTGACACCTCCATATATTACAGCGGGGATTGTGTTATGGGTGAAGTGCTGTAATCCTTGTCCATCATTCTTGGCATTTATGTTTTTGTCTCTTCACACCAAAGCATGTTTTTATCTGCATAGCTGCTGTGTCTTCCACAAAGCTCAGGGATAAATGCATTCAGAACTTCGTTCAACAATGGCTTTCTTCTTGTCACTCTTCTATATGTAGTAAATGGATTGAACTTTGGCAGCTCTTTTTATATTCACAATGAACATTTAGTGTGTATTTACACTGGGGCCACATTTGCTCGACTGCACTCTCAAAAGCTTACTGGAATGCAGATTTGCCTTGCTCAAGGGTGTGGGGTTAGGAGAAGATGCTGGACCTGAACTCATACCTCTTGAAATAATTATTCCTCCCATTGAGCCACACCCACCCTAGATCACTGCATAAATATGTTACGTTTCAGTTCACGATGCTTTTGGTTGGGAAATGCACAACTAAATGTTTCTTGTTAACAAATTATTCCACCTGAGCTGTAGGTCTTTAAAGTTCCTTCAAAGGTACTCTGGCGCTCTTGGCCGTTGTTCCGATTAATGCAGTCTTAAAACCGTAGGTTTTACTTGAGTTCTCTCTCCTTAACATGTATTTCTGCCTCAGTGCAAGGGACCAAACCTCAGGTTGTCTTCCGCATAAATGTGTGCGACTCTAATGCAAATATGTTTGAATGTCTGTATGATAAGAAAAGCAATAGTTATATTTCATTTAAACCTCCTCACTGACCCGTCTGCTGTGTTCCTCTGTGTTAATATCTGAGGCCTTCAAAGAGCAGCTATTATCTATATTGAGGGTAAATACATTTTTAAGGATAACTGTGCTGGATTTTATTTCAGAGTATCAAATAGATGGTTGGTTTACATATATTTAAATCCAGAATTGTGCTCTCCTTGGTGAAAATCAAATCAAAATAAGATGTTGACCCTTTTTTTTTTTTTTTATAGGGGGCGCAGAACCTGGAGCAGAATCTTCTAATGGTGATTCATTACTGGAGTGGCTGAATACATTCAGACGCACTGGTAATGCTACTCGGAGTGGCCAGAGTGGCAACCAGACGTGGAGGGCGGTCAGCCGGACCAATCCCAACAGTGGGGAATTTCGTTTCAGCCTGGAGATCAACATTAACCACGACCAGCCTGAGCCGGGAGAGCATATAGAGACGGTGAGCTCTGTGGACGCCCCAGAGCTGCCAGTGATTCCTCCAAACACCTCTGTCCACAATGCTTCCCCCCTCTCCAGCTCTCGGCCTTCAGCTACACCAAGGCCGGCTCCGTACCCCTCCCCACGCCCTGCCATAAGAAGGATCGAGACCCGGCGCACACGGAGCAGCGCCACCGCCCTGTCTGTGAGCTCCGCCACACTTTCTCCTGCAGAGATGGCTCCAGCTGCCCCTCAGAGGCGAGGATCTACTTTGCACTCTTCAGCACCTTCTCCCGCCGTCCCCAGTCCTCCTGCCGATCAAACGGCGCCGTTTCAACAGCAAGTCCAGAATGTAGAAGTGGAGCCGGGACGTAGCCAAACGGCCGCTTCTATAGACTGTCCTCGGGTGCCGCCTCAGGATGAATCTCAACACCAGGCTGTGGGACAGGAGTCCCGTAGCAGCAGGACTCGATCCCGTGGCCGAGCGCGCAGGACCGCAACGGGGAGCGGCGCTGCATCTCGTGCATCAAGGAGAAGTCGATCCCCTTTGAACAGAACGTCTAGTGTCAGCAGCACCCAGCCACGCATCAGCGGTACAACTGGTTCTACCGCCCCTCCTGGTGATCCGAGTGGTGTCACCACCTCTGTATCCATGGAGACTGGGGGAATTGTTTCAGAACCCGATGCTGTGTTGGAGTCAGCCGTGGAAACTGTAGAGCGTGCGAGTGAGTCGCCCGCAGCCGGAGCAGGAAGCTCAGCGGTCAGACGACATCCAACCATCATGCTGGACTTGCAGGTGAGACGGATTCGCCCCGGTGAGAACAGGGACCGGGACAGCATCGCCAGCAGAACTCGATCCCGCGCACGGGTGGCAGAGAACACAGTCACATTCGAAAGCGACAGCGGCGGGTTTAGGCGCACCATCTCCCGCTCGGAGCGCGCCGGAATTCGCACCTACGTCAGCACCATCCGGATTCCATTAAGGCGCATCAGCGAGACGGGCCTCGGAGAGCCCAACTCCACCGCGCTGCGCTCCATCTTACGACAAATAATGACTGGATTCGGGGAGCTCAGTTCTCTCATGGAGACGGAGGCGAGTTCTGAGAGCGTCACACCCAGCCACGGATACGTTGGCGTCGCAAACGGCGGCAGCAGTCGCCTACATTTAAATGAGAGCGGGCCTAACCAGGTGGGGACAAGCGAGGTCGTTCAGGGGGTGGAGGGGCAGGTGAGCAGTGAGGAGGAGCAGGTTGGGCAGGCCAGACTTGGGGCCGGAGTAGTCAGCTCTGCAGACGGACGGTCAAACAGCAGAGACACCAACAACCTGGTGGAGAACGGCACCCTGCCCATCCTGAGGCTGGCACATTTCTTTCTACTCAACGACGAGGAAGATGACGAACATCCCAGAGGCCTGACCAAAGAGCAGATCGACAATCTATCCACGCGTACCTACGGTCAGGCCAGCCTCGAAGGCGAGATCGGACGCGCCTGCAGCGTGTGCATCAACGAATACGCCCAAGGCAACAAGCTGCGTCGCTTGCCCTGCTCCCACGAGTTCCACGTCCACTGTATCGATCGCTGGCTCTCCGAAAACAACACCTGCCCCATCTGCAGGCAGCCCATTCTGGCAGCGCATCATGACTGACGTCCCCCCACCCCCGCTCGCCGCTGGCTGAACTGAGCAAACCCAAGTGGGCTTAGCGTGTACATATCGCTTTCACTGTTTTTCTTTGAAATCATCCATTGAGTTGTTTGAACCCAAAGCGTGCAAAACAGGAAGGAAACTTTAAATCCAGAGAATTAACAAAACTTTATTTTTTTAGATGCAATATTTTCAGGAAGTCGAGCTCTTCCTGTGACCTTAGTTGCTACTTTTTTCGTCAGGCTTCAGAAGTCTGTCTCTAGATGGCTTTTATGCTTTAGAAGCTCCTGTAGTTGCCTCCCAATTGTCTGGTTCTAATACTTTTATGTCCGATATGCGTGACTTTTCCTTTTTTCTTTACAGCTGACCATACAAATCACTTGTAGGCTTGGTTTAATCTGTATGAGCTGTAAATAAGAATGCACTGCTTATCAGGTTCTTGTAGAAATATGAAACTTACCCATTCAATCTGCTCAAAATGGAAGAAGGAAGTTTTTTTTTTTTCTTATTATAAAGTCTATACTCCCTTTTTAAAGTTTAAAATATGTTGGAGAGGGGAATTTTTTTTAAATTAATTTCTGAAATATGTATTCTGCGCTTCTATCAGTTTAAAGCCCTAAAGTTACAATGCAATACGAAAAAAACCACCAGTCCATCAAAATACGTCACTTTGAGTTAGAAATTCTAACCATTGCCTTTCCATTTGTCATTGTGGTTTCAGGCTTTTGGTAATCAGGGATTCAGAATGGTGAGAGTGAGTTGTGCAATATAAAGCGAGGAAAATGTCTTGTGTGACATTAACTTTGTTGTCTGTGTTTGTTATTTCCACTCTAAGACGAACCGAAATTAAAGTTTTCTGCACATGCAGAACTAAAGCTATCGTTAGAGGAAAGACGGCCCAGAGGAAATAAAACAATTCTGCAGTATATTTGTTCTTGAACAAACTAAATTCTCCATATTATATCTGACTTTGTTAGCTAATGTGTTTTTTTAGCTTTATTTTTTTTTCATTACATGATAAAAATAGCATTTTTTTAAGTAGAAGAAATGGATTAAGAGCTAACCCACCCAATTCAATTGTTTCTGTCACTTTATAATAACAGCTGCAGTACTTGGCAGGTAACTGCGTTTCTGTAGTTTCTGTGTCCCTAATTAAACTGCAGGGTTGTTGCAGTACAGTATGTAGGAACGAGTGAAAGAGTGTATGGTTTATTTGGCTGTGAGTGTTTGTGTGTTTAAAATGAAGGCCCAGTGTCCTCTGAGGCTGGTTCTATAAGAACCCCTCTGCTCTATGAATGGCCACTTAGGAGGGTTGGTGTGGGCAAATGGTTCAGAAGTGAATATTTATTCAGTTCTTATTTAATATGATGGGAATCATCCTTTGAAATATGAACTGATATATGTTGCTTTGTGATGAGAGTAAATAAAATGGCTATAATGAATATAATATAAAAGTCCAATGGTGGTTGTCTTTTCTATTTCTTAAAAATATTGCCCTGTTATAGTTTCATGCAGAGTACTATTATTCCCTAAATTTGTTTTTGCGTAACCATTTAGTTTCTTTTTTTTTTTTTTATAAACTTCCATAAGTTATTTTTCTTTTTCCTTAAAACTGAAAAATACTAAAGTATCTTGGAGTTGGGGGGGGGGCACTGATACTTTATCTACAAAAACATCTGTAAAGTATTTTGGAGAAGTTGTTAACTCTTTTAGACCCTTTCATTGTTTTCTATTTTTCTTTGCACAATAGCTCAGTCCAGTTGGATGGAGAGCATATGTGCACAGCAATTTTTAAGCCACAATTCTACTTTGGAATTAGTTCAGAACTTTAACTAGGCCATTTTAAGACATGACATTTATTTGACCCGAAGCATTCTTTTTAATTCTGGATGCATGTGGGGGTCATTGTCCTGCTGGAAGTCCAACTTCCAACCGTGTTTTAAGTATTTTATTTAAAGAGAAAATACTATTAAGGAAATTACATGTTCAACCCAAAATTTCCGAGCATCATTCTTTCCTCAGTGATCCCCTGAGGCTGCAGAGCAGTTCCAGGGGAAAAAATGGAAGGTCATGCATTGGAAGATTTGCTGCTCTATCATTCCCATTTTCAGATAATGACTTGAACATCTCTATGAGATGTTCATTGTTTCGGATGCTTTTTAAGAATCTCCAAATCTTAACCCCTGACAGGTGTGCTGTCCCTTTTTGTCCTCAAGGCTCTGTTTCTTCCCTTTTTGTTTTCTTTTTCTTACATACAGATTACCTCATTAGAACTTAAGATTCCAAAGGCTGATTGGGTCAAATATATTTTATTTTAGGGTGTTAGACTAGTGTTTGTTTATACCATCAACATTAAAATAAAAAAAGTAAATCTTTAGAGGAGACTGATGAAGCATTTTAAACCCAAGAACATTTGATCAATACTAAGCATGGTAGTGGTAGCATCATCATGAGAAGCTATTAAGATGTATGTTTTACGAGATAAGAAGTGTAGAATTAGCTACAAATTGTAAAAGTTAACAGATTAAAAAACTAAATGTCTGAAATTTGGTTTAAAGACTTTGTTAGAGCATCACAATGATGCTGATTCTGGAATTGTCCAAAACTCAGGTCTATTTACATACTGGTCAGATTTAAAAGTTGTATATGTACCAAGAATATAACCAATTTGCATGCATTTGACCATTTTAAAGAAGAAGAACGGCCACGGATCTGACCAGAGTCATCCCAAAAACACAAAAATGTTATTTTATGTTTTATTTAGACCATCTGTGAACAGATACCACTTCCATTTTATTTTTGAAAGAATCCACCGGATGTGGGGCTATCTCACTGCCGCAATAAAAAAAATCTAAATGGCTGAAATTTGGTTTAAATACTTTGTTAAAGCATCACAATGATGCTGATTCTGGAATTGTCCAAACCTCAGATCTATTTACATACTAGTCAGATTTAAAAGTTGTATATGTACTAAGAAAATAACCAATTTGCATGCATTTGACCGTTTTAAAGAGGAACGGCCACAGGTCTAATCGAGATCACCCCAGAAAAACAAAATATATATTTTTTTTGTTTCAAAATTTAGACCATCTGCGAACAGAAACCACTTCCGTTTTATTTTGAAAGAATCCACCGGATGTGGAACTATCTAACTGCCGCGTCAGTGACACCGTCTGGAGCTCCCTCCCGTTTACTGAAGCCTCGGCGGTCCAGCAGCGGAGCAACATGACAGCCGAGCAGCTCCAGCAGCAGGAGGACCAGCGGCAGGTGAGGCGGACTCAGGCCGGTCAGGGAGCGTCTCTCCCCGACTTTTTCGGCTCGCCGTGAGCATGTTACCCCTCCGACCTCCTCCTGGCCCCCGCCACATCGACTGTCACCCGCCTGTAACAAGATGTACTTCAACCGGAGAGGCAAGAAGATCCACAGCGAGGGAGGTGAGGAAAATAAACTAAATATCTAATTTTTGATGGTTGTCCAATCAGGGCTGCAGAAACCTGTCCTCATAATGAGCTTATCTCTTTAAACCAGGCCTGGTTCTCCTTGGCATCCAGCGGCCTGTCCCGTCTGGACTCGGCTGGCATTGCTATGTGCCTGGCATAATAACTCCGTACTGCGGCATGCATATAGAGTCACATGTAGTATCCTAAAAAGAAAAACAAGCTTATTTCGTTTTTTAGGCTCCGGATGTGAATTCAAGGACAACTGAGGCTGCAGGTGGCAGATTCATTGCATAACCCTGTGTTTTTGTATTCATCAGTATTTATTTATGCACATACTATAAAACTTTGGGTTACAAATATCTCCAGTGAAGCTGTTTATTTCATCTTCTGCAATAACTGATCCATGGCATAATTAAGTTGTTGCATAATTCGATGCATCTGCTTACAGTGTGTGTAACCCGCGTGTTTCTTTTAATTTATGTTACTTGTATAGGGGATAATAGTAAAATATCTGCAAACTGTCTAAGCCAGAAGTCCAGCAGGGGCAGAGCTAGATGGGGGGCCAGGGGTGGCCATGGCCAACCTTAGCCAATCATTGGCCACCCCTACTATTTTTTCCCCCTCTATTACAGATGGTGGCAGCAGTAATACTTTCAAGGAGAATATTCAAAACATTTACATTTTTCATTTATTGACAATGACTTGACAACAAAAACAATGTGCTTAATTCTGCTCATCAATATACTAACATTAAAGATGACAAGTACAGAATTAATGTTTTTTTCAGAACTAAACTTTGTGTTTTATGGGGTAAAGAAAAGTCATCAGTGAAAACATAGAAAAATAACTACTTTAAAAAAAAACTATTAATCCATTTTTGTAGATATTAGTGCCTGTAAATGTCAATTTTATGCAGGATGATTATTGATAAAAGTAGGTAAGTAATGTCAATGGAAAAGATGTTCGCCCCAGAACTCAAACCTGAAAAGATTTTATCTAATATACATTTAATCTAGACGGGTATTAAATTTGTGCGTCTAATTAATACCGTCGGCTCGGTAACCGCACCGGAGCCAGTGTGAGCAAGGGGTAATGGTCTTGATCCCCAGTATTTGACTGAGCTTCTCCAAATCCATGCCCCGGCCAGAACACTGAGATCCTCTAATCAGTTGCTACTGGCGATGCCTAAAACCAGACTTAAAACCAAAAGTGATTGTGCCTTTATGGCAGTGTCACTGAGACTCTGGAATAACTTGCCTTGGCATATTGGATCGACAGGCTCCTTTGAGGTTTTTAAATCCTCTCTAAAAGCACACTTCTTCTCCCTGGGTTACATAAAGTCTAAGTGGACATTTGGCAAAATTTTATTTTAAATTTTATTTTTAAATATTTATTTAAATTGAAACATTTATCTTGTAATATTTTATTTATATTCAGTTTTTCCTTTTTTGCAGTGTGTTTATGTATTTTAGCCTTTTTGTTTTTATCTTATGCTCTGCAACTGTGATTCCTGTACAGCACTTTGGTCAACCCCGTTTTTTTTTTTTATGTGCTTTATAAATAAAGTTTTAGTTGAGTTGAGCATGCGCTACAACTGTCACATTTCCTTAGACCTCTCTTTACTCAGAGACATCCATCCATCCATCCATCCATTTTCTGACATGCTTAATCCCAATTGGGGTCGCGAGGGATGCTGGTGCCTATCTCCAGCTGTCTACGGGCGAGAGGCGGGGTCCACCCTGGACAGATCGCCAGTCCATCGAAGGGCAACACAGAGACAAACAGGACTAACGACCTTTCACACACACTCACACCGGAAGCCATTTAACCTAACCGTCATGTTTTTGGACTGTGGGAGGAAGCTGGAGTACTCAGAGAGAACTCACACCTGCTCAGGGAGAACATGCAAACACCATGCAGAAAGACATTGGGTCGGGAATCAAGCCTGAAACCTTCTTGCTGCAAGGCAGCACTGCTACCCACTGCGCCACTGTGCAGCCCACCCAGAGACATCAAATTATAAAATCAAATGAGTTGTTGCTCAGTGGTCCAGCTGGCATTCAACGTTTATTCACAATTTAATCAACGCAATGGTTGATAAATGTAAAGTTTCAACATTAAACTTGTAAAACTAACACTTTATGCTTTATAATAGCTATTCCTGTTTTATTCAACACATTTACACACACGACACATTACCAAAGTTTAACATGAGAAATTGTGTCATATTTAAAATATAAAATGCTACATATGTTTATTTAAGCTGAAATTTCGGCAGAGATTTATAATTAGTTTGTTAAACTTTCTGCAACATTTTATTAACTATTGTTGTCTTAAAAATGTATTTATTGTTGAAATTCCAACTGACAGTCTTTCTATCATATCTTAACCATATTTCGATGTTGAAGGTCAGTCAGGTCAGAGTTTTTTTGTTCATTAAATTTCAAATTGGGTTCTTAAAATCTACTTGAATAACTATCTGAAATATATTAGCACATGTGCATTAAACATATACAAGTGCAAATGAATCAAATTATAAATATAGAAATATTATATTTAATCAGATGCAATATTATATTTTACAGAAGACAACTGAGAGCTAGTAGAAGCCTTTTAAAAGCTTTTACAGACTATGATTGATCGGTGCTCCAACTGTTGCCTAACTGTTATAGGTTTGATTCCTGCTTCCTTTACTGAACCTTAAGCCGCCATATGGTCAGTGTATTTTTTGTATGAATGTGTGCAGATACTGAGTTGGACATATTGTTTTAAATATAAATGCAATGAACCAACAAACCCATTATTATGTTTTTTCTCCCTATAAATTATTATCAGAATATTAGCCGTAATAGAATTTAGGATAATACTATTGAGAGCCAGAAGGTCATAAGCAAACCAAGTCTGATGCATTTAGGTGAAAAAAAGGGTCAGGATGGACTGGGATATTTATTTCATGTTTATACACTTTGTTTATACACATTAAGAATCCCATCAATTCAATGTTATTACAAAAGTCTGAAACTTTATGTGAATATTTTCACAATTTAATACTAGAAGTAGTGATGGCCTAGTGGTTAGATTAGTGCGCTTGTGCTCCAAGTACCCGGTTCAATCCCCACAGTCGGCACTCTGGGTCGCTGCACAATGGCAGCCCAGTGCTCCCCAAGGGGATGGGTTAAATGGAGAGGTACATTTCTTCAGTTTGAGATCAATAAAGTTCAATTATTATTATTATACTATTGTCACTTCAGTTTGAGCCAAGGTGGCTGACATCTGCATTGAAACACGGTTAGAGTTGGCTGGTGTGGATGAACTGTACGTGTTTAATAACATAATAGATTTCCTTAAAGAAGCTATTTTGTCATCTAGTTGAACAGAATGACCCCTCATCTACCATCTTGTTCTTTCAGGGAGTTAACTGGGTAATGTAAAGAAAAAAGCTAACGGACTCTTGCACAGTTTGATGCAGTTTCACTTTTAGTTTTAAAGGGTTAAAAAAGTGTACTTCTAGAAACTGAGAACTTTAGTTAAAATAATATTTTTGAGCGAGATATGTGTGACATTTCTAGTGCTCTGGGAGCGCCCTGCTGATCTGAGGGTCCAACAGCTCCTTAATTCACTCATGCCTTTATCAGGTTTAAGTGAGCAGTTCAAGGTCCTACTGGAAACTGGAAATGCATCTTTTTTTTTCATTTTATTGTTATACCTTTTCTTTTGATAAAAGCTGGAGATAACTTGTGGGTACTCGGTTATGAGGCTGCAGTAAAGGAAGTAATGTGGCAAACAGACACATAAATGGATCAATCTACAAAAAAAAAAGTTTTGTCCCATTTGTGTGTTTTAAATAGCTCATGTTATTCGTGTTTTTCTATGTGTGGCAGCATTGTTCCAGAAATGAAAAAGCAGGGCAGATTGTGAGCACATCATATGGTCCAATAGGAATGAAGGCCAAACTTTCCTTAAAATAAATACATTTTTATAAACTTTTAATTGTCCCATGGCCCATCTGAATCAGACTACTTTATAACCTGAGTTTTTATTAATAAAATTAGGAAAGCTAACATTTGAAAAAGAGGCTAGTTCATAAGGCAGGAAGTAAAGTAAATATAAAAGCCCTAATCCAGAGCTGATGCTTTTACACCTTAATCAAAGTATTGTGTCTTCAAGTATTTGTTCAATATTAAATGTAATCAAAATCTTCTTTTAAAGTAATTTTGTGCATACTAGAGCTGCAACTAACCATTCCTTTCAAATCGATTAATTTTTGAAATATTTTTTTAGATTAATTGATTAATAATCGAATAGCAAAAGGTTCCTTAAAGATGTTTTTACGAAATTAAACAGGTGAGACTAAACTTTTCCAATTGAGGAGTTCTGGATAGAGCATATTGACAGATGAAAATGAATTTTTTTTTTATCTTAAATGCAAAATGTTTACATATTTTTTTTGCAATTTTGATATAATTACTGCTCTAAGTGGGTTGGTCTGTCAGCTAAAGGCATATTTCAGAGTCTCTATACTCCAGTTAACGATTAATCAGTTAATAAATTAGTTGACAATTATTTCAATAATCGATTAATCATGATTAATAATTGTTTTAGCCCTAGTGTATACATTCCCAGGGATTACCTACTCCACGGCCATACAGCGCCTTAGTATTAGTTACATTCAGTCATGTGATAACCACATTCATTCAGTGTATTTTATAAGGAGTTTATAAGATGACCTGAAGTAGTGGCTAATTTTAATTCCCAGTAAAATTGATGTACCATTTTTATTCTTTACAAATAAAACTTGAAGTTTACATTTTCATTAATTAATAAGTGAACTTTATTTGTATATTTTTACAGACAGGGGTGACAAAGTGCTTCACAAGATAATGCAAACTAAAGCAGGTAAAAACTCAACTTCACTCTGAGGTGCATCTGGAAGTCTGGTACCGGATAAAAAAATTATTTTGGTCTGTCTATTCTGACATTTGAATCAGATTTATTTAAAAAAAAACATCTGGATGTATGTTTACAACCATCATCCTGCTGGATGTGAACCCCCATTCCAGCATCACATCTCCTGCTTCTTCTCTGCAGGACTGACCTAAATCTACCGACCAGCTGAACACAATTGTTTGCACTTTATAAAATATTTTGGCACTGTAACATTTCCACAACATAAAGAGTTTCATTGTTCAGGAGGGGCTCATTGGTTTTATATATCACACACAGCTTTCTATATTTAACAAGAGCTAAAAGCATATATTATTTTCCCTCCTCTTGAAATCTAAACTCTGTGTTTGTCTTTGTTTGGATGTGTCACATAAAATTCTAGTTAAATAAATAAAAAAATCTTAAACCTTTAGGTCAATAATGCATCATGTAAAAAAAAAAGTTAAAGAATGCTTTTGCACAGCACTGCAGCAAAGTATCCTCATGCTGTCATTAGATGATACCCTTTGGAGCCTGACCTGTTGGTACTTTGCTCCAATTAGAAAGCTACTACAGATGATGACATCCAATTCTACCTGTCTGTCTCATTCACTCCCACTTTTACAAACAGATTTAAATGGCGCCTAACAAGAAACAGTTGATGAAATTGTTTCTGCTCTTTTAAACCCCTAAAGGTTAAAAAAAAAAAAAACCCAGCCAAAGAGATTTCATTATTACAGGAAGGGCCCCCGTCTCGTACTACTGGCACCTTGTGTAATTTATGGCAAGTTGTGCAAATCATCCAACTGTCAAGAGCACATCTGTTTTGAAAAGATAAAGGCTGGTTGTCATGGCAGCCTTGAATCCTGAGGAACCCATTTGGGAGATATGGGTGAAAACCAGAGGCTGCATGTAGAAACGAGGTATTTCAAAGAGAAAACCACATGGGGGCGCTCGTGCATAAGCTAGAAGACTTTTCTCTGAGCATCTCTGCTCTGCAGGACAACCTTCCACTTGCAAAGCTCAGGTCACTGTTAGGTTAAAGTGGAACATTTTTCTGTGTGTGAAGCCCAGTCCGTGTATAATGACTTGCTCTCCTGTGTGTTATTTCCTTCTGCTGCGACCTCTTATGGTGCCCACAGAGCAGTTAGTGTTGACCGCCATTAGGCAGGAGGCTTCTGAACTGCAGGACCCAGGCCAGGGCGCCAGCGCTACCATGCGTGCTCGCCTCGCAGACAGGTTCGACAAAAGTGAGTTTGTTAAAGTCAGGCTTGATGATGAGAAACTCAAGTTGCATGTGCAGCTAGAGGCAGGTGTTTTCCCCCAACCCCAGGCCCTAAAGAGCAACAAACAACTTTTCTTTGTTTAGATCTGCAGCTGGAAAATGAAGCAACATTGCTGTTGCTCCTTAGGGCCTGGAGTGGTGAATGCTGTACAGGACCTCACCTTCTCACTGCATGTGCTTGTAGCCAGTAGAAAGCACCTATTTGTTATAATGGATAACTTAAAAGAAAAAAAAAATAGTTATCAGTACATGCATGGTGTAGAATTCAGCACATGCATGCATGTATGGACATGCCATGCATGAAGACAAAAAGTACAAGGACGTTGCTGCCTGCATGTAGGGCAGTGAGCTGGGTGCAGAGAAGCGCAGGGGAGTAGATGCATGATGGGTTACCCTATATCCTCTGGGATTCAAACATGTGCACTTACCCGTCCGTCTCTGAAAATGGATCTGTACATTTTTGTAATTTTATAACAACAATCTTAACTTATTTTAAAGATTAGGCCCTGATCTATAAAGTAAATTACAAATATACCCTAATCATTCAGGTATAACATATTTGTGTAGGAATTTGTTGCACGGTTTTCAATGTTTTTTTTTAAAGGTAAAAATACAAAAAGTGTGCATTTGCATCTGCCTCTTGAGTCTTACAATATAGCCAGAAATAAAATCCAGTTATATAAATTATCATCAGAAATAATCTAACCAGTTAACAGAGCGGATTTGTGTTGAACTAAATCTCAGTGTCACACAGGGGCAGGGCCAGTAGAGCATGAAGCACAGAAGCAGCCAAAAGTCTATTATGAGAACTCTGGAGGAGCTGCAGAGTTTCATTAAAAAGGTGAGAGGAATGTTTATGGGATTATTTAACATTAACGTGACAAAAGGACGGTTTAGAATACATTAACTGTATCTGAAGGCCAGCATAATCATAGGTGGAAAATCTGGTGGGGATTCTGACCCAAATTCCCCATGATATGCTCCCCCAAATAGGTAATTAGAGAAACCTATATTAAAACAATCTAATGTGGAAATCTAAGGATGCATTTTTGTTAGTATTTTGACAAAATATCTTATTCATTGTCCTCCATAAATGGTAAAAGGGGAAATTTAGTCCTCATATGTGATATTCAGGCAGTTAAATGGAGCCTGCTTCAGGTAACAGACAGTATTCGAGGCACAAGTGATAAAGAGAGAATGAAAGAAATTAGGATTGATTGTAACTGATAAATTTAAATAAATACTATTAGTTTTCCAGTCTTGTGCAGGTCTGACGTTACACAAAGAGGAAAGCTAGCATTAGACCTTACTTGTAATATACTCTGGCCATGGTAAAAGATGTCATAGGGATGATTATCCTGAACAGGGATTAGAAAACTGGTCAGAGTTAATTAGGAGAGATTCTGTTAAAGTTCTCTATTTTACAAAACTACATTTTCCAAAACAAAAGTTCATTCTTTACATGAGCTTTCAGTACTAAGAATAACTGCTCTTCAAAATATTTCTTAAGGGGAAATTAATACAAATGCATGTAATAATAAAATTTTTATTTAAAAAAATGAAAACCATAAATCCTTCACAAGACGTTTATATGTTGCTTTGTGTTGGTCTGTCTCATAAAATGATAAGACAATCAATCCCCTGAAGTGTGTGGTATAATAGTACAAAATGCTGTTAAAATCAAGGTTTATGAATACTTTTGCGAGGTTGTGTAGCTCCAGATGCAGAATATGTTAGAAGCGGCTCATGTGGGTGGTGCGTGTCGCACCTGTAGGATTACCAGGTTATGGATTAACAGCAGGTGAAGTTGCAGAGCAGACACAGAAAGGATTATCATGCTCGTTCACTTCGTCCCTAAGAGGCTTTCTTCCTTTTGCTTCCTACTTCGTCACGGTGGCAAATAGACCCACCGGGGGCCGATAGCAACGATGTTAGCAAGGAGCTGGAAATAGAACTCAAGGGGGGCCGGGGGCCGCAATGGGACGTAAGGGTTGCCCAGGCAGACGGAGCTCTGTAGGTAATGTGTTCCTGTTCAGAGCTTTACAGAGGCATACGCAGGGCTATCCTGTTTAATACAGCAGTGGTGCACCATGGCAATTATATTAGAAAAGTTAAGGACAAACGGTGTAAAATGTCCAGATAGAATGTTCCAAACTAAAAATAAATGGAGTATGTGGATTATGTGTTCGCTGTTGTTGACTTTAGTGAGGTTTGCAGCTGTCATTTGATTACAAACAGCCCTGCTATTGACAATTATACCCCCATGCTGTAAAATGCATATATGCATAATTAGGTTGTGGAAGCTGATTTTGATAACGGCTAATAAAATCAGCTTTCTGAAGTGTAGCATGAATGGTGTCAGAGCTTCAATATCTGCGGATGGTAGCAGCAGTCCAACATTGCTGTCATTATGATTAACAGCTAATGCCTTCCGGTTCATTTCTTCTCTGGGCTGCACTGTTGGATTAGGTGTTTAAGGGTCTGTAAAGGCACATATTTTCACCATGGGATGGGAGACCGTTTGGTTGGGAGATGTAGCGCCAAGGTGGGGCCCTGGCTTGAAAATACTTTGCCATACTGGAAAATGTAGATGAATTATGCAGCCTCTGTCTATGTATTATTCAGTGATCCAGGTCACTCTGTAACTCTGAAATTTTGACAGCAGCCCAGACCAAGAGGGAAATCCATTTTTTGCTAAAATGCTTGAATTAAATGTCTGAATTTCTGGATTATATTGATCTCTCATGAGGGCAATACAATAGAAAGATTATATTTTAAGAGTTTTTTAAGGTAAATGGACATGAGAAAAATATTAAGCTTCTATAAAAAAGCTGAGCATCTCTATTAAGAGTTTACTTTTTGAATAAACTAAATGGGTAGCTGGCAGGATGTAGCTTCCAGGGTATAAGATCAGAGTGTTGATTGGGGATCAGGCTAGTCTTTCCTGCTCCGGCTGCAGGTTATCTGTCCTGAGGTACCTAACTTGGCTGCCTTGGCTGTAATTGACCTGGGCTGTGCTTTGTTGGGGTTTGCTGCTGACTCATCAGCGGCGCATCAGTACAGAGTTACAGAGGCATCTGCGGCCTCCGCTCCACCTGAGATGAGAAGCTAGAGCATTGATCTCTACAGAAATTAAATTATTGCTAAACTGGGCGTTGCAAGATGAGCCATTATTGATCTTTTATGGAAAGCTGGAATTCTGTCAAAATGAAAAGAAAAAGGGTAGGGTGCTTAAAATTTCCATTTTCCTGGAAGACAATTTGGAAGTTTAATCACACTAATATGATGAACTCTTCTCTTCCTGTTTTTTTTTTTCTTACTAAATCTCTCACCAGGTAAAATCCAGTGTCGAGATACAGAAAAAAAGACAGACAGGTTGATAATTATCAGTTTCCTTATAGAGACTTTGACCCTTGCTCTTTGCTTCATACAGACTCTGATATGTGCACATGTGGGAGAAAAAACTATTCCCACCTTTAGTGTATATATATTTTTTCAACAGCCAGTTATTGTACTTGAAGCCTTTTTGTGATTTCGAGTTCCATTTTTTTTTAATCAAAATAATTCATATATTACTTCCTGTTAATCCATGTCTTCCTGTTTCCCTGGGGGATGAATATGATGTGAACTTTTGTGTTTGAAGTGGCTAGATAACATACAATTTAAGTAAGAACTGTAAGAAAATATATACTTACCTCAAATTGATCGTCTACAACAATAATTAAAATCTTAAAGTCATTTAGCTGTAGCATAAAGGGGCATATTGGGCTCATTAGTTCTTAATAAAAAGCCCATCAGGCAGTAATTTTGGAGGGTGCTGTAACGCTGTAGATTAAAGTTTTTCGCTGTTAAATTGTATTATATTGGGATTTAAAGATATAAACCAATGACTAACACATGAGGTGCTCTGAACTTAAACATTTAATTGTAGCTTTGGCTGTAAGGTTAAGGTCGATTAGCCCAGTTAGAAGGTGAACCTCTGCTCCAATCTTCAATCTGTTGCTCCTTTTACATTACTGCTGTGCAAGCTACATGACTTATGCCAACCTCAGTACAAGACATGCCATACAGTGCATCCTGTCCACTGTAGAGGGCCACGTTTTGACTCCTTACAGGGCACTTTAGCACACATTTTGGCTTCCAAGGGGGCACTTTAGCACACGCTTTGGTTGCCAAAAGGGGCAGTTCAGCATAGGTCCATTCATCTATTTTCTGACACGCTTTATCCCAAGCGAAGTCGTGAGGGGTGCTGGTGCCTATCTCCAGGTGTCTACAGGTGAGAGGTGGGTTACACCCTGGACAGGTTGCTAGTCCATCGCAGGGCTTCAGCATACGTAAAGAGGGCAACTTATGATTTATTTTGGCTGCCAAGAGGATTAGCACACATTGTGGCTGCTGAGAGGCCAGTTTTGCACACTTTTTGGCTTCCCAGGGGGGCACTTTAGCACGCGCTTTGGTTCCCAGGAGGACAACTTAGCATGCATTGTAGCTGCCAAGATGACACTTTAATCACATGTTTTGGCTACCAGTGCAGCTTAGCAGTTGTTTGGCTCTTGAGAGGCAAGTTTAACACAGATTTTGGCTCCCGAGAGGGCGCTTTAGCATTTGTTTTAGTTCAGAAGGGGGCACTTTAGCACGCGGTTTGGCTACCAAAAGGAAAGTTTAACATGCATTTGGCTCCTGGGAAGGCATTTTAGCATGCCTTTATAAACAATTGGGGTTCTGAAACTGCAAAAATCAAATGTTGCTTGAGTTTGGTCGCGAACCAGTTTTGCTGGTATGCTTCTGCACCATCGGTCTGGAATTTCTAGGGACGCAGAGCAGTTTACCGCCAAAGCGCTAGGGGGAGCCTATTCGAGAACTTCGGCGGATTGTACTTCCGTACCTCCTCGATTAACTTTTTGTTGTGTATGTCCATTGTAGTTGACGACCACACAGACAGCCGGAAAGGCATACCAAGGACCAATCACAGCTGCTTTTTGTCTCCGCACTTCCGCTTGAGGTTTTCTACTGTCCGACGCGGAGTCAGGATTTTTTTGAGGTGTGCAGAGACAGATTTGACGGTTGCAGAGGCCAGTGTTGTGCCTGAACGCGTTCATTGAACGAAAGTTCATGAACTCGTTCATATTTTGGGCGAACGTGAACTGAACGTACTGCATTATTGCCTGGTGAACGTTATTGTGAACTCGTTCATTCTGGTGTCTGTGAACGGCACGCTCTCTCAGTTCAGCTCCGTTCAATCGGTTGCCAGATTTCTATAGAGCCCTCCAGTCGAAACCCCTCTAATTCACACCGTAAACAGGCCTTAATATGTAGCGGGAAAAACACCCAAT